TTTACCTGGACCATCTCTAACACCTCTCTCCCCTTCCTGGACCTCTCTGTCTCCATATCGGGCAACCACCTAGAAACCGATATTCATTTCAAGCCCACCGACTCCCACAGCTACCTAGAATACTCCTCCTCCCACCCACCTTCCTGCAAAAATGCTATCCCCTATTCCCAATTCCTTCGCCTCCGCCGCATCTGCTCCCAGGATGAGGCATTCCACTCCCGTACATCTCAGTTGTCCTCGTTTTTCAAGGACCGTAACTTCCCCTCCTCGGTGGTCGAGAACGCCCTCAACCGTGTCTCCCACATCTCCCGCACCTCATCCCTCACACCCCGTCCACGCAATAAAAACCAGAAAAGAATCCCCCTCGTCCTCACGTACCACCCCACCAACCTCCGGATCCAACGCATCATCCTCCGACACTTCCGCCATCTGCAATCCGACCCCACCACCAAAGACATCTTTCCCTCCCCACCTTTATCTGCTTTCCGGAGGGACAACTCTCTCCGTGACTCCCTCGTCCGCTCCACACTCCCCTCCAGCTCCACCACACCCGGCACTTTTCCCTGCAACCGCAGGAAGTGCTACACCTGCCCCCATACCTCCTCCCTCACCCCCATCCCAGGCCCCAAGAAGACTTTCCACATCAAGCAGATGTTCACCTGCACATCTGCCAATGTGGTATACTGCATCCGCTGTACCCGGTGTGGCTTCCTCTACATCGGGGAAACCAAGCGGAGACTCGGGGACCGCTTTGCAGAACACCTACGCTCGGTTCGCAACAAACAACTGCACCTCCCAGTCGCGAACCATTTCAACTCCCCCTCCCATTCCTCAGACGACATGTCCATCCTGGGCCTCCTGCAGTGCCACAACGATGCCACCCGAAGGTTGCAGGAACAGCAACTCATATTCCGCTTGGGAACCCTGCAGCCCAATGGTATCAATGTGGATTTCACAAGTTTTAAAATCTCCCCTCCCCCCACCGCATCCCAAAACCAGTCCAGCTCGTCCCTGCCTCCCTAACCTGTTTTTCCTCCCACCTATCCCCTCCTCCCACCTCAAGCTGCACCTCCATCTCCTACCGACCAACCTCATCCCGCCCCCTTGACCTGTCCGTCCTCCCTGGACTGACCTATCCCCTTCCTAACTCCCTACCTACACTCACCTTTCCTGGCCCCATCCCCGCCTCTTCGACCTGTTTGTTTCTTCTCCACCTATCCTCTCCTCCATCCCTCTTCTATCCGCCTCCCACTCTCTCCCTATTTATTTCAAAACCCCCTTCCCCTCCCCCTTTTCTGATGAAGGGTCTAGGCCCGAAACGTCAGCCTCTCTGCTCCTATGATGCTGCTTGGCCTGCTGTGTTCATCCAGCCTTGCACCTTGTTGTCTCTGTTTATTCCTATCTCTGTTTTGTATCTATTAGCCAATTCTTAATCTATGGCAATAGATTACCCCAATCCCAAGTATTTTAATTTTATGAACCTCACGCGGAGGACCTTAATCAAAATCCTGAAAATCCACTGAGATCCTGCTTATCTATCTTTTTAGTTACATTCTGAAAAAAAACTCCCAATTGATTTGTCAAACACGATGATTTCCCTTTCATAAAACCATGTTGACTGTCAATCAGATCATTATTTTCTCAGTTATATAATAAAACCAATATGCTGAAAATCTGAAACAAAAACAGAAATTGCTGAAGAAACTCAACAGGTCTGGTAGCATCTGTGGAGGGAAAGCAGAATTAATATTTTGGTCCAGTGACCCTTCGTCAGAACCAGAATGTTATTTTCCTCAGTGTCCAGTTATTACAGACTTAATAGATTTCCCTAATACTGATATCAGGCTGAAAAGTTCTGTTTTCGCTCTTCTTTCATTCTTAAATAGTGTAGTTACATCTGCAAACTTTAATCTGAAGATGGTCAGAATTCACTATCTCTACAGCCACTTCTCTCAACACTATGATCAATAGGTCCTGAGGATTAATCAACATTCAGGACTATTTTTTACTTCTGTTCCTCATTCTGCTGGTGTCTTTGTTTTCAAGTACTTCTGGTCGGTTATCCGGGAAGACAGATACAAAGAGTTTATTTAGCTTCTCAGTCATTTCCTTATCACCCAATATAAATTCTATTTAGCATGCAAATATGATTCTAACTTCAACAGCTGAGTGTTAAAATCCATCTTTTTCAGTTTCGTTCTACTGCTTAATTTCGTATATAAAATATTGGCTACAAAAAAAAAACTTCAATTTACAGCTCTTTTCACAACTACCAGATGTCTCATAGCGCTTTTTAAGCCAATGAAGTACTTTTTAAAGAACAGACCATGCTGTAATATAGAAGAGGTGGCAGTCAGTTTGTGTTCAGCAAACAGAAATGTGACAAAGACCCGGTAAAGTTTTTCCTGATGTTGGAGGAGGAATAAGTATTGGCTAAGACATTGAGGACAAAACCTCGCTTCTTCCTCCGACATGTGCCATGAGATCTTTTACATGCAGCTGAGCAGACAGAACGGGCCTTGGTTTGACATCTCATCCAAAAGACGGTACCTCCAGCACTCTTGTGGTATCTATCGTGATTTTTATTTTCTCCTCAAGCCCTGAAGGAAGACTTGAATCCGGAATCTTGTGATTTAAAGGAACGAGTGCTATCAAGTCGACACTATAAAATTGAATGAGGTTTGCTTATACTGAGTTCTGAGGAAGAGTCACTCGACCTGAAACGTTAACTCTCATTTCTCTCCACAGATACCGCTAGACCTACTGAGCTTTTCCAGCAATTTCCGCTTTTGTTTCTGATTTACAGCATCGACAGTTCTTTCGGTTTTTGTTTCGCTTATACTGCGCTTGCTACACTGTTTCACTGTTCTCTGACTATTCTTAAAGCAGGAATGAGTGAAACCTATAATTTTCCGCTCAGAACTGAATAAAGCTTCTCCAGCAACATGATGCTAGAAGTTTTGGGAAGTAATAATCAGCCTCCGCCGCCATAATAAAAGCAACGAGCGCAAATACTGAGCCCTGCCGCACAGCCGGGTGCTTTGGTCTTTAGGTGTTTGCAGAAACGGGGTAAGCCTCACCTGCCCCTCGCCCAGGAAGTCGAGCTTCTCGTAACGCTTGGCCCTGGAGCGGACATCCACCGCCATCTCTCATAGAAACGGCAGAAACTTCGCATCATAACTTCCGGTGCCGGCCTTACCTCACTTCCGCGGTGTGGTGACCGGGGCCAACCTCGTTGCCTAGCAACCACAGCCAAGCCATCGTCAATTCACCGGTCTAAATGATGAAGGTAACCTCCTCCTGATAACCGGGATAACCACAAGCTCCACGGGAGAGACCCGTCAAAACTGCAAATCATTAAGAGAAGATAGTGGTGTACCGGCTGTGTCACATGGACTGGTAATCCTGAGGACATGAGCATTCATCAAGATGCCTGGATGGTTCTTTATTTAAGGTTATGGAAATAAAAACTCATATTAAAGTTAGAATTGGATTCCGTGAGGCTAGTGTTGGGGACAATGCTGGTGGTGGGTGAAAACGTGTACTTATTTTTGGGAACGTTAAACAAGATGTGTCAAACAGGCTTGCCAACCTATACTTATATTTGTGCAACATTTTGTATGGACCTCCAATTTTATAATTTTAAAAAACTAATGTTAGTTTTGGTCAAAAAATCAAAACAAGAGTTACAAGGTTCAAAACCAAATGAAGTCACAAAGATTTACTCAATCATGCCCTGTTCAGATTGTTATGTACGTTTATCTTTAAGTGAGTTTAGCCTCACCTGTCAATCACAATCACAATCATCTGTACAGGGGATGATACAATAATCTCATCCACTCAGTCTATGAGCAACAGGACTAGGATTAAGATGTGTATGTTATAGTCAACCAGTTTATTTAGAGATAATACTATACATAGATAAAATTAAGATAGAGTTGTCAGAAGCAAGACATTACCCTGATTTTTCCCATGGTGCACCTATCACTATTGAACATGAGATCAATTAATTTAGCAGAAATCAGGGACCAAATCTGATCTGTGTAGCAGAGCTACACACAACCAGCCATTTATTGTAGAACCTTCAAAAAGGACAATTTTTTTAAAAAATGCTTTAGCAAACAAAAATCCTTCACACTGCTTCTTTTATATTACCCTCAAGCAGCCTTCTCTGAACTTAATTTTGGTTTCATTAGTTGAATTCTTGCTTTTATGTTAAGTAACCAAGCAGCATGATGAGTGTTAACTGATGAATTGCAATACGTCCTCTTGGATCTTACAACTACTTTTAAATAGTCAGCTTTTAGTGTTTTATCTGCGAAATACAAATTAAATCCATCACTACAAAACTGCAAACGACAGTAATTCATACTAGATAATTTAAGGCATAATTATTAGTAGATGGAAACAGCACATGTTTTAAACTTGTTATTTAAAGAAAAAAAGAGGCACACAGAGAAGTGGGGTTAGGGCCACAATCAGATCAGTTTTACTCTTGTTGAATAGTAGAGTACTCATGTGTGATCTACTCTTGTTCTTCTTATGCTCTAACTCAAGTAAACAAATTTTAATTAGCATTCATTGTGAAGTGATGTTTTAAGCAATTCCAAATTCAATGAAAGCTAATGATGTGAAATGAAATCACAAACTGAGTACTGCACAAGACATGCAATCTAAGGCAAGTTTTAACCATGCTCAAATTCCTTAATTGTTTATTCGATTTGAACATAGGCATATGAGAGTAATAATGGGAATACAGTTCATGTTTGTATATTTCTGTACAATACTAGTTCACTTCTCCATGCAATAAAATTCCCCCACTCAACTGATTGATATTTTAACAATTTTACATGCAGGTCATGGGGTACTATCTGGCTAATAAGTCTTATATACATAATTTTCTAGTTTCCTATATTTGTTACTTCATATGTACAAATTATTGTGGTAAGTGTAGTGCCACAAAATTAAAAATAAAACTGTTTACAACTGGATATTTTTGTAATTCTATTAGACTATATAATTCACAATTATTAATTTGACAATTGGTTTAAACTTATTTTTAGCAACTGCTGTATTGGAAACAACAATGAATAGCATCTTTATTTACAAAAGCAGAACAAGACTTCGATCTTTCAATGTACTTTATATTTAAAATGAATATTGACAATATGCCAAGAATTATATCATTTCATAGGTTCAAGTTAGTGGACTCAATCACTTTTTTGAAGCAATGATAGATTCTGGGAACCACAATTATTTTTAAAAAAAATACAATATGAAATGTCATTATAAAGTTTGAAAATTAGAATAGTACCATGTCTTTATATGGTTCATTTTTCATTTATTGCAATTAAAAAAGGTATTTCAATATCTGTTATACTGAAGCAATAATTTGAAATATCTTTATGAAAGAAATTGTCTTATAATTCTGCAAGACAATGTATCCTTACTGAATTTTACCAGGAACAAGCCACCTGGAGATAAAAATACAAAATGCTGCTTGATTTCACCAATTTTTTCCTATGAAAAGTCAATGAATATTGTTTTGGGAAACATACCAGGAGATTTCTGCTTTTCTGCAAGACAACAATGTTTCAGTGTTTATTGAATGCTATGATATGTACATCCATTTAGCCAGAGGACATGTAATTAGTGCAGCAATATAAAGTGTATTCAAAGGTTACAATTATATCCACAGACTGGAAATCTGACAGCAAATAGGTTTGATGGATTGATGGATGACAGAAATAAGTAGTTGGTATTACTCCGGTCCTCCACGCTGCAAGACAAAAAAATTGTTAGTGTGATTTCTAACATACTACAGCAAAACACCTAACTAAAGGCACAATAAGACGTGCAAATAAAACAAATGGCCAATTACAGTTAAAGGGGGGCAAATTACCTTCTTCATAGCTATAACAATTATTGGATTGGTTAGTTCAATTAGCTGGATGCCTGGTTTGCAATGCAGTGACACCAACACTATGGGTTCAATTCTAATACCACTGAGGTTACCTTGAAGGTCCTACCTTCTCAACCTCACCCAAGGCATGATGACCTTCAGGTTAAATGACCAGAGGTTATCTCAAATAAGACAGCAGCCTATGGTCTAGTGGGACTGTGGAGACTTTATCTTTTACCTTTGTTTTGAATTAACTGAAATTCATTTTTTTACTAAAAGTCACTTACAAGTTTGCAGGAAAATCATATTTCACTAAACAAAAATGCTAATTATTCAAAAGGTCAGAACGATGAATAAAGATATAAAAGGAAAATTCAGGTTTAGGAAAAGACAGATTACATACATACACAGCAGAGGAATGCAGTATGAGAGGGAATGAAAAGATTGAGAAAAACATGATTTGGAAGGCAAACAGAATTATGAAAATAAATTAAGAAACATAGAAGCAAACAAAAAATGTATGGGCATAATGTAAAGAGGTAGTGATGACAAAGATAAATAGGAGACAATGAGTATGATAGTACATGCATAATACCGCAGCTTAATAGAGGGATGGCAGAAGCATTAAATATTTGGCTTAACCATTTACCAGCGAGATAAAACAGGCAGATAGAACAAGGAATGATGAGATAAGAGGAAATTCATTTCAAATTTTCAAATAAGAAGTACTAAATAAACTAAACAAACTTAAGGCAAAGTCCCTACTATGGATGGATTGCATCCATGTACTTAAAAAGAACAAAGAAAATTACAGCACAGGAACAGGCCCTTCGGCCCTCCAAGCCTGCGCCTATCCAGATCCTCTATCTAAACCTGTCACCTATTTTCCAAGGATCTGTATCCCTCTGCTCCCTGCCCATTCATGTATCTGTCTAGATACATCTTAAATGACACTATCGTGCCTGCCTCTACCACCTCCGCCGGCAACGTGTTCCAGGGACCCACCACCCTCTGCGTAAAGAACTTTCCACGCATATCCCCCTTAAAAGCTTTTCCCCTCTCACCTTGAAATCGTGACCTCTAGTAATGGACTCCCCCACTCTGGGAAAAAGCTTCTTGCTATCCACCCTGTCTATACCTCTCATGATTTTGTAGACCTCAATCAGGTCCCCCCTCAACCTCCGTTTTTCTATTGTAAATAATCCTAATCTACTCAACCTCTCTTCATAGCTAGTGCCCTCCATAGCAGGCAACATCCTGGTGAACCTCCTCTGCACTCTCTCCAAAGCATCCACATCCCTTTGGTAACGTGGCGACCAGAACTGTACGCAGTATTCCAAATGTGGTCGAACCAAAGTCCTATACAACTGTAACATGAGCTGCCAACTCTTGTACTCAATACCCCTGCCGATCAATGAAAGCATGCCGTATGCCTTCTTGACCACTCTATCGACCTGCGTTGCCACCTTCAGGGTACAATGGACCCGAACACCCAGATCTCTCTGTGCATCAATTTTCCCCAGGGCTTTTCCATTTACCGTGTAGTTCGCTCTTGAAATGGATCTTCCAAAATGCATCACTTCGCATTTGCCTGGATTGAACTCGATCTGCTATTTCTCCGCCCAACTCTCCAATCTATCTATATTCTGCTGCATTCTCCGACAGTCCCCTTCACTATCTGCTACTCCACCAATCATTGTGTCATCGGCAAACTTGCTAATCCGACCATCTATACCTTCCTCCAGATCATTTATATATATCACAAACAACAGTGGTCCCAACACGGATCCCTGTGGAACACCACTGGTCACAGTTCTCCATTTTGAGAAACTCCCTTCCACAACTCTGACTCCTGTTGCCCAGCCAGTTCTCTATCCATCTAGCTAGTACACCCTGGACCCCATGTGACTTCACTTTCTCCATCAGCCTACCATGGGGAACCTTATCAAACGCCTTACTGAAGTCCACATATATGACATCCACAGCCCTTCCCTCATCTATCGACTTTGTCACTTCCTCAAAGAATTCTATCAAGTTGGTAAGACATGACCTTCCCTGCACAAAACCATGCTGCCTATCACTAATAAGCCCATTTTCTTCCAAATGTAAATAGATCCTATCCCTCAGTATCTTCTCCAGCAGCTTCCCCACCACTGACGTCTATAATTAACTGGATTATCCTTGCTACCCTTCTTAAACAAGGGGACAACATCAGCAATTCTCCAGTCCTACCGGACCTCACCCATGCTCAAAGATGCTGCAAAGATATCTGTTATGGCCCCAGATATTTCCTCTCTCGCTTCCCTCAGTAACCTGGGATAGA